GACAAAGTATATATATATATATACATTGCAACGGTTACTTTTTCAAGAGTGACACGAGGGTGATAGTGAGACACAATTACGGCGGACAGAGGAATTGAGGATAGAGGCACTTAATAATGCTCAGAGATGAAATAAAGTCTAATTAAATTTTGATGTTCATTCAAATTGTAAAAGAAAATAAAATAAGACAAAATCAGAGAGAAAAACAAATCGTGTTTTCAAATTCAGCGTCAAAATCAGAGAAAAACCAATTTAGTATGGTAATGAGTAAATAGATACAATATTGAAAAAAAATGTGTTGTTGAAATAATAAAAGAAAAAGTCATAAGGAGTACATATGCATAATTCTCGAAATTCTTATAAATGCATGAGATGAACTTTTATGCCGAAAAATAAATTAAAAACATTTACTATTCAGATTCAATCGCGTTCATAAGAATAAACATGAAAAGAGTTTTAAGAAAATAATACTTTACATATAACTAATTTTACAGAATGCTTCCTATACGTTTCCAACCCAACTTCGTAACGTTCGGCGGACAAAATTGTTTCCCTTCCTTGTAAGCTTACAAACTACTTTAAAATAAGAATCAACAATAGAATGCTATTCATAGTAGAATGCGTGACATTTCATGTTTACAAAGGAAAATAGTAATGTATAATCGTCAATACAAGAGAGCTATACATAATGATACGCAGACTTAGAATGCACTAGGACTTGATTCTCTACTTTTTTCTTAACAAACCAATATTCAAAAATTCGAAATAAATATTTAAAAAATACAGATGTTTCGTACACGTACAGGTAATATTACTGCATGGCCCGCAACACGAGAATGTCGTTCACATGATCAAAGACGGATGACTGAGAAAGCGATCAATAGGTCACCTTTCGGTTAACTGAGCAGCCGGAGATTTTTATCTACCAACTAAATGATCTCACGAAGTGGTATTAACGCTTGTCATTCACCTGTTCACAAGGAAAAACTACTCAGCTCTACAACCACGAATCTCATACTGGGAAAAATGCGACACAAAAACAAAAATCCAAGGAAACACCGGAAAACTTCCTCCAAGCAAAACCACTACGCATTGAGAGACTTAGCACACAAAAAATAGTCCTCCTTCGTTACTGGTTGCCGACTCAGGACCACCACTTGGTTGGATCAATTAAGCAACCAGAGATTGTTTATGCCCTTTGTCTGAACTCATCAACATTTGTTGATGAGAAGACGATACCAGAATAGGAAGGGAACACTTACTATTTTTTTTTTTTTTTTTTATTGTGCAGCAGCGTGTAGTGATGGCGCAGGATGTTTGGCAGCAAACAAGAATCACTGGAGCTGGATCGATGCCGAACGGATCTGTAGTTCCGTGCCTTGCGTCGTCCCCTTGGAGCTGTCGATTCGTACTTCCTTGCCGATCTCCCCTTTGGGACCTTGAGTGCTTTCTTGGAAAGCAATTTCCTGAGACTAGCCTCCCGAGCCCATTGCTCCGAGCTCTCTGAAGTGAGTCCCCTCTCCTGGTCAACCGTTAAACGCTGGTACAGCTAATGCGCGTTCATCGTTGAACTGAGGCTTCGCGCATTCCCCATACCAGTTCGTCCCTTTACGTTCTCATGCACACACACACACACACAAAGCACCCCTTATACGTGTACTCTCAAAGTCTAATTTAAGTGAAGAGTTTCAAGATACTGAGAATGAAAACGGTGATAATATTACCGAGAGAGAAAATAAATTGAAAACCAGTATAAAAACAATGTCAACAGTTGACCGAAAAGAAAAGGTAAACATCCAAAAGAGTAAGATGATAAATATGGGTATAGTACCATTATTATACTTTATTGTAGTGCGTATAATTCTAAGAGTTTGTATGAAGCGCTGGAAATTTTTGAATTTCATAATTTAAAAAATGCCATAAAAAATGAAGTTGATTCATTTAATAAAACTAAGACTTGGATATTGGTCGATAAGCCAAAAGACAAGAAAGTTTAAGTTGCAAAATAGGTTTATTAAAAGAGGATGTAAAAAATTATTTGGGGAAAAATATTGATTATAATGTAANAATTCTATAAAATTACATGGATACATAAGATAAAATTAATCTTATTTTCTCCGTAGTTCTTGTGACAGTCAAGCTTTTTCTTATTTATTTTATATGTTATTTATTAATGTATTGTTATTTAATTTCCTTATTTTTTACGAATTACCACATATATTATGCTTTTCACAAAGTCACAGCATGTACACGTCTGTGCAAACTGCTATATATGTTATTTTTTACGTTATTTATTTACATGTTTCGTTGAATTGTTTTTATTGTTTCTTCAAAATAATAATAAGGGAACCTAGAAGAAACATACAAATAGCTAGAAGCCCAACTATGCTCTGCTACCGTTAATGTTAAATTCACATGAACTATCATATCACTTTGCCTATAATTTAAATCTCGAGGTTGTAAACTATAGTCTTACGCTTCTCCATAGGCTATTAGACCAGCACACAATCTTAATATTTCTTTTTGCATGGAAGAGAAAAGAGGAAAGATTTTGGGTCTTATAATATGTGTCTATATATATTAACGTACTTTTTTCCTTTTACTTCTTGTTTTTTTCTTGGCTTACACTACTTTATACTCAATACATATTGATACTTTCTATTGTGCAATATAATTATTAAATTTATCTTATATGCAATTACCAACCACACTGAATGAGCGGTGGTAAGCTACTGTCTAAGGCGCCGAACAAAGGGATACACATTTTACGAAGTTTTGGTTTTTTATTTTACTTGCTACGGGACTGGCACTTGCTGACTCTATGTGTTTGGGCTTAGCTGTTTGCTTCAGTTGTCACTTAACACTTCCAAGAGTTATAAAATACACTGTCAGCTTTGTTAGGGAACAACTTTCGTAAAGAATGACTTTTTTAAGAGTTTAAAAATTTAATTATTAAAAAAGTGGTAAGAAATGTATGTATAAAAAATTTCACATGAAGAAAATAAATATAATAAATTATATTAAAACCAAGTTTTAATTTGTCAATATACGTTATTCATACATCTACTAATTTTGCAATGTATTTCAATTTTACATGTGTATAAACACTGAGCTCGTTTATGATAATACATGAATTGAATTTGACGTGCTGTAAAACAAAGCTTTAAAGATTTATTTCGAAAACCCCTCTTTATTAATGTTACTAATACTATTTTTCGCACACACAAGAATTTTGACATTAAGTACAACAAACGCGTAAGTTGCATGACATTGCACATATGATGGTGTCGCAGTAATATTAAAACTCAATCGTAGGGATTACAAAATGGTAACACACAAATAAGGCTCGTTAAAGTGACAGGATGAAAATTAAGAAGAATACTTTCAATGTTTCGAAAGCTATCATTGGGAGATCACGTCCAGTGTCTTTCTTTGGGGTGTCCCCTACTTAAGCAGAAAAACTAATACCTTTTCTTTCTTTGTTACATTGTATCTTTTAATGTGCTGAACTACGATTCCAGAAATAAATTGTCGATTATTGTGCAGTAGTACATGGACATGACAAAGTATACATATTTTTTCTTACATTGTGTGGTTATTTTAGTAAGATTGGCAATAAACTGCCACTCTTACCGCAATTACTCTTTAGAGCCCCCACAAAAATCAATTCTTAAATGTCCTCCATTATTTTTTTCAAGACTTAAGATCATTTTAAGACTTCCTGCAGGCCTGGACAAGGTTTTTTTTTTTTAACTTAACATACACCTCTGTTTTAGAATAATGTATAAAATTTCTACTTTCTTACGCTGCTGAAGAAGTAAATTAATCAATATAATGGGAAACGATAACAATTTTTTCTTTTATGATTTGATTTCATTATTTTCCTTGAAATTAACATTGTTTAACTTGTTCAATACAATGGTTAGGCACCTTAACCTTTTTTTTATCCAGATAGTTTCATTTCGTGGAAAGTTAACAACCGAATCAATAGATGTATTGAAGATCAGAATAACAAACTTTTTTTGTATTCCTTGAAACACAGAGTAAACACTCTGAAGTTACTGAGTAAAGTATAGTTAAGCTTAATGTCATAGTTTGAACGTGACAGCATTTTTTCTATTTATAACCTATATTTTATATGTTGTTGGCAATTATAATTTTATTCACTTAGCGTCATGTGAAAAAAATCTCGTTTATTATTTATTTACTAAGTAAAAGAAAGATGATGTTATCTGAGCTTGTAGTTGAATGTTTAAAAGAGACTAATTATTAAATAAATACATTCGATTTTTCTTCAGGAAAAAGCTGTGAAGAAGATGATTTACTTACTGTTGCTTCAGGTACATTGTGTAATTTGTTGCTAGAATTTAGTCCGAGCAAAGAACCTATCCTCGAATCAGGTGGAGTTGAACTATTATGTTCTTTAACGAAACGATCAGATCCTGCACTTCGACTAAATGGAATTTGGGCTCTAATGAATGTAGCATTTCAAGCTGAGCAAAGAGTGAAATCTCAAATTTTAGGATGTCTGGGAACAGATCAAATATTTCGCCTACTTGCAGATCCTGAACTAGCAATTTTAATGAAAACCTTAGGATTGTTGCGAAATCTTTTATCAACAAAAGCTCATATCGATAGAATAATGGCTGATCATGCGGCTCATGTAATGCAAGCTGTAATTTTAGTTCTTGAAGACCCCATGCACCCTCCAGATGTAAAAGAACAAGCACTGTGTATTCTTGCAAATGTTGCCGATGGGGATAGAGCCAGAGATCACATCATGGCTAATGAAGATGTTTTAAAAAAATTGATGGACTACATGGTAATTATTTATAAAAATGTCTTCTAAATTATATTTATCTATTAAAATTATTTAATATACCAACCCTTTATTGTAACATAGTAATAAAAGTTAAATCTTAAATTTTTGGTTTAACATTGCCTCTGATTTGTTACATGATTGCTGCTTTTACCATTTAAAGTAATATTGACCTTACTTTCAAGAAAAAACGAGTGGACAGTGGGTGCCGGGGTACCCAAGGAAGAAGTTATAATTCTATAAAANAAAAATTTTTTATTTCACATGAATTGATATTATATACAAAGGTAGTGCAAGTATCTTTGGAGAGAAACCTCTGTTAGTTGGGTGTGGTTTCAATAAATATTTTTAAATCTAATAATAGAAAAAATATAAAAACAACTTACTAAGAAAATACCAAATACTCTTATAAAAAAGCAGATCGTTTAACTGTGTGCTTTTTCACATGTTTAATTTGAAAAATTTAGATTCAACATGTAACCGTATGGAAAAAAACGCTTTAAATTTGATTTTTAAGATCCACACAAAGCTCTCATCTTCGGTTTGTATGAAAGATTACTATTCGTGAAATCTGTTTCATTTTTAAATAGATCTATGATTTTTTTTTTTTTTTTTTAATAACACAAAAAAGAAGGCGTCAAGTATGCGTAAAAGCATGTTGTAAGTTCATCCTTATGAGAAAAATAATTTCCATAGTGCAGCATATATTTGCGCTCCTTCCAGTTCTTTGAATTTTATTCACAATCACAAAGGAAAAATTGTGAAAGAAGAAAACGTAATAAAAAATCAATTATTGTATTCGTAGAGTACGAAACAAATGACTACACAATAAATAAGAAATATTATTAATTAATTTCTCGCTTGGGCGTTGGTGAAACATTTCGAATTAAAATGTATATTAATAAGTAAAAACTTCAAAGTTGGCTTTGTTTCACAATGTTTTATTATTTGCAGACAGCTGTTTCGGCAGTTACGCCATTGTCAGATGCTCGACATACTCTGAATGGTCTATGTACATCAGTTCGCTGAAGTCAAGTACAAGTATTACAAATGTAGTTGTCGCTCAACGGTATGATATGTATGCGCCTGTGTATGAGTATCTTATGAGATACTGTGTATTACATTTTCTATTATTGGAGATAGAGTAAAATTAATTTGATCGTTCGTTATGAATTTATTATGTTTCTTTGCTAATTCTATTTCTATTGTCTCAAACAGATTCAATTTAAAACTTTTAGGTAAACTGTATAGTAACTTTATATTATTTTCATCTAGGAAATTTGTATTAGAATTACAACGTTCACTAAAACCCGTCGTATTGCGATCATTATAAATAGACTTTTTATGCTCCTTTATACGTTCGGAAAGGGCACGTCCTGTCTGTCCAATATATATGGCATCGCATTCGGAACAATTAATCTGATAAACACAACATTTCTGTAAAATACCAACTTTTTCCTTATTATTACATAAAATGGATTTCAAGTTGCGTTTATTGACCATGATTGTATTTACATTTTGTTTTTTTAAGAAATTACTTATTTTATCGGATACTATGGGAACATAATTCAACATATTGAATTTTTTGGTTTGTTTTGCGACTGCGTAAAAATATTTTGAAATAAGTCTATTGTTTATTTTAAAAATTAGGCTATCTATGAGGTTTTCATTGTAACCATTATTAATTGCTAAACATTTTAATAGATTGATTTCCTTTTCGTAATTAGATTTCGTTAACGGTACTATTAATAATCTATGTACAAAAGAGTAAAATGCGCTCCTTTTTATATTGATGGACTGCTTTGAATCGTGCGGTACGTATCTGTAAAAGTTGGTTTTCTATAAATTTCATACAACAACTCACCGTCTTTTCGTGTTATTTTTAGATCCAGAAAATTTAAACTCAGGTTACTCATACACAGAAAAGTCAGAAAGGTCAGAAAAGGTACTTATACACAGGCGCATACATATCATACCATTGAGTGACAACTACATTTGTAATACTTGTACTTGATTTCAGCGAACTGATGTACATAGACCATTCAGTGTATGTCGAGCATCTGACAATGGCGTAACTGCCGAAAAATCTGTCTGCGAATAATAAAACATTGTGAAACAAAGCCAACTTTAAAGTTTTCACTTATTAATATTCATTTTGATAAATAAGAATTAACATTGAAAACAAGTTACGAACTATATAAAATTAAGTAATCGATTTTCTCACGTCAGGCCTGTTCATAGCAGAGTGTGTAAGGGTCTCGACCAGCGGACACAAGGTTGGGGGTCCAAATCTCTTTGGAAACTGTTTTGTTTTTTTTTTTATTTTTATTTTCTTTGTTTTTTTTTGTTTTTTCATAGAAATTACTGAAAGAAGAAAACTAAGTAAAATTAAAAATGTGTGGTGTGGTGCGATGGTGTTATGTAATGTGTATGGTGAGAGGATGTTGGGTGGTGTAGGGATGGATAATTAAGCAAAATCCACTTTCATTACACTTTTTGGCATGGTCACGAATCTAAAATGGTTGATTTACTCCGTAGGGAAGAACGCGCCCATAAAAGTATAGCTTTAAAAAGTATTACATCAAGCTCACTTTTAATTCACTTAAGTTTACTTATATTTTACGTTTTTTGCGTTTACTTTACACTAATTTTAGTCGTAAGTAGTGAGCACATAAACATTATGTCACATTACTTAGGCTTTCATATTTATAGAAAGAGGGCTTATCACCTTTTTTAAAATTGAGCTGTCACACAAGTTAAAATCTATGGTGAAGTAAGACTTAATGAATCTATAATTTAGATTTTTGGGCATGTTGAAGGTTGCTTACTGAATAAAAGATACACAGGGTTGAAAAACTAAGCCGAAGCTTCCCCTCATTTCGAGTTCTGTACGCAAGCTTCGGAGATTTAATTATCAAAAATAAGAAATTGTGGCTCTTGACTTTTGTTGCACGTAATATTTTAGATGTATGTTATGGCAAAAACTTGTGTCAAAGTATTCAAAGACAAAAGTTTAAATAAGTATGTCGAATAAAAAAGAATCAAATATTAAAAAAAAATTTTTTTTCTTTTTCGTTTCATAGCACATAACTACTTTAATAACAATATAAACTATAATTATTACTATCAAATAAAATATGAATATAACAAACATGCAAGATAAACAAGGTTTCATATTATGGTAACTCCCTACCACTATATGTGACAAAATTTTTTTATTAATCATTGAGGTTTTTGTTAAGGTGTAACATCCCGAGTTGATATGGATTATACTATAACTAAAAACTATCTGTTCATCAAAATTCCGATAAGACGTATTGTGAAAATAAAGCAAGCTCATATGACAAAAGGAGCTTGTATGTCGTTTATGTGTTCGCGTGTGTGTATTAGCTTTAAGGTGAATGCTTCATAATATGCTGACATAGAATACGGCTAGCCTCATTGTAAAAATGCATGTAAGTATGAATGAATAGTTACTTGCTCATTAATTGTTTAATTCTGTGTGACGTGGGAAACCGACGTCATGGTAGGAATGCATGTGGTAGTAGCAGACAAGAGGAGAGGCGATACAATACACACCAATGCTTCCTCACCCAAGGCCCTTGTACCGACCTATCCCTTCACCTATCCCTACTATAGGCAGCACTGCCAGCCCTTGACCGTGTGCAGCGGCGGGTGTGTGTGCGCATCGACGCATACACATGCGTATAGCTACTGTATCGGGGAGCACAAATCGGCAGGCCAACAAGAAATCTCCGTTTTGTCTGCTTCCCGTCGGGACGTATAATCCGAAGGCTTCGTTGCGTCGTATAGTTCCACGGGCGTGTGTGTGAGATAACACTGCGTACTGCACCGAGCGGCAACAGGAGGCGCAGTAACGGCTACTTGTTGACTACCCGGACTGCTGCGACAACCTTCACGCACACACTTCCAAGTACTACTGGGTCCAAGTGCCAACTCCTGCTCGTCGGACCTCCCGGTGCCCAAAGCTAGTGCTGCAAGACGATCCCTGCAGTAGTGAAAACGGTAGGCCTATTTCCCTTATATCCCGTCCCTGCCGTGTATAAGCATTGTGCCAAGCAGCAACTGCTGAACCTGCACCCGCAGGGCTAGGGCTGCATAAAGTCAGGCTAGGTCAGATAGTTAGGCAGGGTAAACTTTGTATAGAAGTAATGCTAAGTTTTGAGTAATTAGTAGATGTAAACAAAAGCTTAAGTGTTAATCTCGCCCATTTATGTATATTGATTTCCAGCTATCCATCCTATCTGCTTAGCCCTATAGGAAGTAATACTAAAGAAGAATTTTATATGTGCCGTGTCTTGCTGCTGACTGCAAGGTGAGCAAGGCATGGCACATCACATCTGATAATGTATACTAATTAAAAATTTTTAATTCACACATTAATTAATTATATTCAAAATTAATTGTAAAATCCTCAGAAGGANAGGTGAATGCTTCATAATATGCTGACATAGAATACGGCTAGCCTCATTGTAAAAATGCATGTATCAGAATTGTTTAATTCTGATGTATACTAATTAAAAATTTTTAATTCACACATTAATTAATTATATTCAAAATTAATTGTAAAATCCTCAGAAGGATTGTTTTCAAAATTGTAAACTTACTGTCACAATTGAACTTGTATTTGGCGTTCTTATATTGCTCATACGAGCTTTCATCATCACTGACCCAAAAACTCAATCGCACTTGTCAGAAAAGGTGATTAGTACTGTTGTATTGTTATTTCCCAATATGTAAAACCATAACATGTAACATTATCATGCAACTGTCAACGCAGTCTGCAAGAACATTGCTCATTGATTGACCTCATTCAACCAAAGGCCTTTTTTTCTCGCTTTGATGCTATAAAAACGCACCATCAAGAGAAAAAAGTACTCTCTTCACGTCTGTCACCTGTCCTCTAAAGTTTGAGTCAACTCTTGACTCTCGCGACTTGTGAGTACCTTATCCACGTAAGGCATAACGTGTTGGCTGAGGCA